TGTAGGCTGAGGAGGTTGAGAAGTGGCCATTCGAGGAGGCGGTCCAGAGAATAGTGTCCTCTTCCAGAGAGAGGGGATCCACCAGGTTCGCCGTAATCTTTTGGAGCACCTCGGGAGGAAGCCAATCCTCCAAGCGATTGATATCCCATCTACCATCCTCATCAACATAATCCGCCACCTGCTCATTCAGCATCTCCTCCGTTACCGGTTGAAGCGCCACCTCCGCCAAAGGAACCTGCAAAAGCCAAACATCACGCCAAAACTTAGCTCCTTTTCCATTATGAATATTCCACGCACAGCCCTTCCGAAGAAGGTTTGAGGCTTTATTCAAGCTGTTCCAGGTAAAGGAACCTCCCTTAACAGGCCGAAGCACTTCAAGACCCTCCCGTTGCTTCCCGTACTTCGATCTCATGACTTGAGCCCACAAGCAGTCTTTGTCTTTAAGAATCCTCCACCCTCCTTTAGCGAGCATAGCCAGGTTTGCATGCCGGACTGACCTCAGCCCCCCTTCTCCCTGAGCTCTAGGCTCTGCCATTTTATCCCATGCCACCAGATGAATCTTCCCTTTCTCCTCCTCCTTCCCCCAGATAAAATCCATGTTAATTTTATCAATAGCATTGCAAACATTCACAGGCAAAAGTTCAGTCTGCATAGGATAGACAGGGATGGACAGGGAAACTGATCTGGTAACAGTCAAGCGCGCAGCAAGCGACAGCTTCCTGGCTTTCCAAGGTGCCAGCTTCTTCTTGATCTGCAGCAGTAGCCCTTGATATCGACTTCTGGTAACCCGACCATGAATCGTCTGAATACCTAAGTATTTCCCAAGGCTGGTGGCAAGGGGAATACCAGCCCTGGTACTTAGGCGCTGAGCTCTGGCATGATGGATGTTGGGGGAGATGTAGATGATAGACTTGGCAAAGTTCACTCGCTGTCCGGAACTCTCACAGAACTCATCAAGACACTGCTTTATAATCTTCACCTGCGAGATTTTCGCTTCTGCAAACAAAACCAAATCATCGGCAAAGAAAAGATGAGTTAGAGCCGGGCCATTCGGAGATAAGCGAATGGGATTCCATAGCTTATCTCGAACGACCTTATCAATTCTGTGGGAAAGGCGCTCCATACATAACACAAAAAGGTAAGGAGAGAGAGGGTCTCCCTGGGGAACTCCCCGGGAAGGGGTAATGGCCTCAAGCAGCTCCCCGTTCCAGAGAATGCGCATTCTGTTCTGTTGAACACAATACATAATACACCTGATCCAAGAACTCGGGAGGCCAACTTCTATCAGGGTGTCCCTCAGAAAGTCTCACCGAAGCCGATCATAGGCCTTCTCCAGATCGATTTTCACCACCATGCCACCCTTACGCCCCTTCCTCTTTCTCAGCGAGTGAACAACCTCCTGAACCACCACTATGTTGTCCATCGTCTGACGACCTGGGATAAAGCTGGACTGCCGAGGTGAAACAAGGGTTCTCATAACAGACTTCAGGCGACTTGTCATCGCCTTTGTAATGGCCTTCAAGCTGACATTGTTCAAAGAGATGGGCCGAAGCTGCGTGACTGATTCAGGTTCTTCCACCTTAGGAATAAGAACTACAGTGGACTCCGAAACAGCGGGGGGAAGGTTCCCATGCTCAAAGAAAGATATCGCCATCTCTGACAGGTCTTTCCCGACAACCTTCCAAGCTTGTTGGTAAAAAATTGCTTGGAAGCCATCCGGACCCGGAGCTTGGAAGGGTTTCATGTCAAACACTGCCTTGTGTATATCCATTATAGTGAAAAGACGAAGGAGCTGAAGCCAATCTTCCTGTCTGAGTCTGGGGAATACACCCTTTGGAAGTAGATCACTATAGGGTGTGTCATCCTGCAAGTAAAGCTCGGAATAAAAGTTGAAAATAAGACCCGCCAACTCCTTCATGTCAGTGACCCAGTTGCCACCCCCATCTTTCAGAGCTGTAATCTTATTCCTGCGTCTGTGGATATTAGTCAGATGGTGGAAATAAGCTGTGTTCCTTTCCCCGAATTTCACCCAATTCTCCCGAGACCTCTGAAACCAGATAAGCTCTTCCTGCTCCAAAGTCTTGTCAAATTCTGCCTCAAGCTTAGCATGAAGTTTAGCTAAACTTGGGGAGAAAGACTCTGCTTGCCGCCTTTCAATACCAGCAATCCGAGCAACCAGCCTTTTCTTTCTCTGAAAAATATTCCCAAAGACAGCCAAGTTCCATCCCTTAAGTTTGTCTGATAGAACCTGCAAAGCATCAGGGAAAGTAGTCTGAGACTCCCAAGAATTCTCAATAAAAGGGAAAAAATCAGCATGGGTTAACCAGGCTGCCTCAAATCTGAAGCGCTTAGAAGTAAGGTGCGAGACTCCCTGAGTTGGCCAAGAGGTAAGGATGGGGTGATGGTCCGAATTGAGGCGCGCAAGATGAGTCACCGAAGTCGTTGGGAAAGTTTCATTCCACTCCAAGTTGCAAAGACTTCTATCCAATCGACTGGCCTTGTACGAGGCAGTGGTATTCCCCCTGGACCAAGTAAATTTGGGGCCAGAAAAACCCAAGTCCAGGAGCTCGGCCTCATTAATCCAGTTCCCAAAGCGCTTGCATCTGCTATAGGTAGAGGAGGAAGCCGGACCAGTTTTCTCATCCGGGTCGCGAATAGCATTGAAATACCCAGTAAGAATCCAAGGACAATTAATTCTCCTGCTCTGATCGATTAACAGACCCCAAAGAGAGCGCTGGCTCTGCTGCTGCGGAGAAGCATAAACCGCCGTGAGCTTCCAAGTCGGCATTCCAGGCTTGGAGCAGATCATAGTGAGGTGTTGATGGCCAGCAGAATCAACTTGCATAGTAATGGCCTGCGAGTTCCAGAAAATCCAGATTCCGCCGCTCCTGCCATTGGCCTCAACTCTAGCAATATCCTGGAAACCCAACCTATCACAGACAGCGTTCGCCACCCCGCCACTAACCTGCGGTTCAAGCAAGATCACTATATCAGGCTTGTGGAGCTGAAGGACGAGTTTGAGAGAACGAGAGAAGGCCCGTCCACCAGCTCCACCAACATTCCACGCAAAGAGTTTAAAATCTGAGTAAGTAGACATAGACATAAAAATTACAAGAGAGAAGGGGGAAGGGGGAAGGAAGGAGGCCGCAGAGACGTAGGGCATCAGAAACTAGGCCGGCTGGCCACTCCCTCCGATCAGTTGCGGGTTGAGCCCGTCCGGTGGGAGAGGGGATTCCCGACGAGTCTCGCTCGCTCTGTTCTCCGAGCTCATTTCCGTCCAATCTTTAATCTGTTGTAGGGTTAAGGAGACCCGTTTCTCGTGGCCTTTGCTCTTCCGATCCTTGACAGGAGTCCACAGCTTGAGAGCCTTCATCGGACCGTGCCGAATTAGAGTATTCTTCTTCGGCGTTGACTCCTTCCTCCCCTGCGCTCCTTTCTTCCTTTCTTTCTTCTGTTTGGTACGCGAGACAGTAGATGGAGCAGCTGGGTCGACGATTCTATTCGGTGGGGGGGCATAGGGCTGGGCCTCAATAATTAACATATTGGTCCCCTTGTCCCCTTTGACAGATTGGGTTACCAACCCAATGGTTTGAGGAGCATTAAGCCCATCGTCCTTGGGCCCAGAAGACGAAGCTTCATTAGACTTGGGGGTGGATGAAACCTCCCTGGAGCTTGGCCCTTCGGGCCTTGGCAACGGGCCCAGAATACCCGAGGAGTCTACTGACGAGGTACAGGCTTTATCATAAATACATAACTAGTTTGAATTAGTAGTGATTTAGCTTAGATGTTGTATTGATTTTATAATAATCCGTAGTGTTTTTTGCTAGTTATCACGGGGCTAACCCCTATAAGGGTTAGCACCTAATCCCATCCTGGTCCCGTTCATTGTTTCTTCTGATAACCGTACAATGTTAAGGAGAAAATTTTATTCTCATAAATAATGAAAATGACAATTTTCCTTCCAAAAAGTGGACTTAGTGGGAAAAGGACAACCTTTCGTATGGATAAATACAACCTTTCATATGGATAGAGACAACCTTTCTTATAGTTAAAGGCAACCTTTCATATGGATAGAGACAACCTTTCTTATAGTTAAAGGCAATCTTTCATGAAACAATGTATGGATTCGGCCCCAATAAATATATGTGTGGGGTGGATGATGCCAAATACCATCAAACATATTCTTCTTCTTTCTTCCAAAAATTACTAAGTATGCTTTAGTGTAGTTGAGCGTAGAACCTAAAGTGGTGATAATTTTATCATCGGGAGAAATTTCCTGTAACCAAAGGCTTTTATGGAGGATGGAAATATTCTTTTCAGAAAGTGAACGCAATTCACGACTCTATCACAATCCTAGTCACCCGGTCTCAGGTTATCGTACTTAGACCCTGGTCCCAAAAGTCCCAACAATTTCTCTTTTCAATAAAATTCAAAAATAAAAAACACTTCTGGGAAAATACTAAATTACTGAACTTATTTTCTTCTTCTGAATGGTAGTGGGGAGGACGTGGTTGTGGTAAAACTTGCTATGTAGAAGTTGCCATTGGCGGGTTGTATAATCAAATCTCTGTGCAATCTTGACCCCACTTCTTCTTGTTACTAAGCACTCTTAAACTCAACACCATCATCATCCAGTGCTCAATTCAACTGTTGGTGCTCAAGCCATGGCCAGAACCCAGACTGATTCTTCCTTCACAATCTGGTCAATGTTCTTGCGACACTAGAGGCTTAATTGAGGATTGTGTTGACATGGAGATGAAGTGTTGTTATTGGGGAAAAGCTGTTGTACTAATCCAGATGGCGCTGATGGAGGCCTAACATTATTACGTTGTTGATGATGAGATAATGTAGTAGGGTAAAATGGCCTGCCACTGCTATTTATAGTTGGGTGTCGAGTTGATAAAGGGCGGTCAATGGGTGCCGGTGTCCTTGAGATGTCTAGTTTGATATCTGAGCTGCATGCACTTTTGTTGCTGCAGGACCCTTCAGTCTCTTTGTTCGCGGTTATTACTTATGTATTGGTCTCCTGCTTTTCAGTGCCAATATCTTCCTTCCTCCACAAATAAGATGATTTGATCAATCAAGTCAGAGATAAAGCATGCATCAAGGTTGTCAACCCGCCGGTTGACCCGGACCCGGTCGAGCTAGTAAGTCAAGGGTTAATGAGTCAACCGTTTTAGCCCGGTTTGGCCCGGAAATATGGAAATAGTCATTATATTGTACTTTTCCTTATAAATTATATCAAATCTTATCTAACATATGAGTTATAACATATAATATTACACCAAAATAACATATCGTACTTAGATCTAGCATAAAGTGAAAATCTACACACACTTATATACATCAATATTCAACTCATGATTCCAAAGTTTGAGTTAGGCGAAAAGAAAAATCGGAAAATATGCGCATTTCGCAAACCAAAGAAAAAAATGACACAATTTGACCTTCAACCCGGTACCGTATAGCGGTCGACCCGGCGGATGTGTGCGGCCCATTTTTCTCACCGGGTCAGGATCAAAGTAGGTCGACCCGCGGGTCAACCCACGGGTTGACAACCTTGGCATGCATGAAACATGGCTTATAAAAGGACGGTTGAAACATGGCTTCAAAGTTGGTACTCGATAGCCTTTTTTCTTCTTTTGACCAGCTCCAAAAAGTTACCTTATTGTAAAAAGAAATTTTTCCTTGATGACAGTCAAATAAAAGAAAGCTTTGTAAGAAGTCATAAATTGCAGATTTCAAGGTAAGTTATTAACAATATTGGATAAAATCAAGTTTGCATTGACGTGTCATGAAATTTTCAATCTCATTTTTTATTTATTTTTCAACTTATTTGAAAAAAATTTAAAAATACAAAAAATAAAAACAAAACCCATCCTGCCCTACCCCATTGTGCTTCACTAGAGATAGATGGCTTCACTCCAACCTTTCCGTCGGCCGCCCTGAACTACACCTAAAGGTGACAGTTCAGTTGTCGATTACTGTGAACTGGTCGGTTAAACCAATAACCGCCGATTACCGGTAAATCTATAAGCGAAAATTACATGAGACGGTCGGTGGTCGGAAAACTTAAGAGGCGCTTTGGTTAATCGAGTAACCTAAGCCGGTTATGTTTTAATTTATACGTCGCCGTCTTACCCAAACCAACGTCGTTTTTCATTAAAAAAATAACCCAAGTCCCAAACCTTATCTCCTTCCTTTGTCGACCCGCCTGAGCCCTCAGGACTTCTCACCAACTTCACTCAGTCCCTCCCTCTGTCTCGTCCCGTTGCGGCTCCGCCTCCGCCCTCCAGGCCAAACCTAGCCCGCTGACCTCCGTCTCGTCGTCTTTCCGCGACACCCGCGACCCTACTCCACCCGAGTACCCGACGACCCCCCTCAACACCCATTTCTTCCTTCTAGCAAAATTAAGGACGGCATAATCATCGCCGTAAACCACTTGCACTGTGTATACTTCTATTAAAATTTCTTCCTCTTCTGCCATACTTACCATCCTTCTATGCCGCCAAAAGGACAGATATAGAGATGCGTGAGGAAGTGGGTCAACACGAGCCGGTAAATCAAGAACAATAAGGGCCGCAATGGGCGTCGACGCGAGCGACGGTAAATCTAGATCGCAACCTCGGGCCTCCTCTACATCGCCGATGCACTTCTCCTCCGTCCCCCCAACCTCGTTCGCTTCCATCCCTGCCCCGAATGTCGGGCGAGGAAATCGGCAACTGGTCGAGAATCTTAGGGCCTGTTTACTTTCATTTCTGTTTCCTGTTTTTGAGAAAACAGATGTTGAAAACAGGTGAAAACAACATTTTGTCGTTTCCGAAAACAGCAGGAAGTTGCCACTTTCTGTTTTCATAGTTGGAAACGAATAGAAAACAGAATGAAAAGTAAACAAGTTTTCTCATTTCGGTTGCCAAATTTATCACATGAAAACAGAAAACTGGAAACAAAAATAAAAGTGAACAAGGCCTTAAGGATTTTTTTGGTTACGACAGGGGAAGATGAGATTGAAAATTAGGGTTCGATTCAAAGGCCAGACCCCGCCGTTTAATCTTTTGTCAAGTGAATTTGGGGATGAACTGTGAGGAGCAATCGAGGTCCCAATCCAATTCAAAGCCCAAACCTCGCCCATCCATAATCCTCGTTCTCAGGCGGCGATGATTGTTAGGTTGTTTTGAGGCTTGCTACTCACAGCGGGAAGAGAGGGTTCTGTGAAGAGAAGAAATCCTCTAGGGATAGCGGCGGAGGAAGCCAACAGAAGGAAGAGAGAAACTGAGATGTTTTGTTTTTAATCATCATTTTGATTCTTCGAATTATTTTTATAATATTGTTGAATTTCAAAATCTAATTTTTTCAAAAATTTATCTATTTTTATTTTAATTAAATATATATTATATATGAATGACGTGGCATCTATGTGTTTACCACTTTTTTGCCATGTCAACAAAAGTTAATATTATTTTGACCACCATTAAGTCAACAGTTATCTCTAATGGTCAACAAAAGCGTCAGGATACAAATGTTATAAAGTATGATACGATGAGATAGGATTGGAATATTGAATAAAATAAGACAGAAATAACATTTTGTTTGTAGTTCGGGTGTTGTAGTGATTTTAGCCCAAACATTTCCCCCTGAAACTCATCTTCTAGTTGCAGCCCTAACTCATCTCCCCGGCCTCTGTTTCTCGTTTCTCAACCTTCGTTTCTCTTTCGTTAGTTCAAATTTAAACCCTAGCTCTATCTTGACATCTCTAGTTCAACGAAGAAGAAGAGAAAATAGTCAATGTTCAATCATTCAGTTAAAGGTCAAACAATCATCGAAAATACATCCATATTGCTGCGGCTAAGCGATACTGATCAGTTCACGGGATGATTGCGGTTGCATCCGTCGAAGTAAGCATGATTGTCCTGGGAAGAATCATGCAAAGATAAATATAATGATGAGGAAGAATCTCGGAGCTTTTGAACAACCCTAATCATTACACAGAATTACACAATGATCATTAATCAGATTCCGAATCATAATTAAGATTACACCCTATACAACTTTCTAGTTTCTACCACCAGTTCGCGCTTAATCTGGTTCCAAACTTTAGCCTTAAGATAGAAAAAATAGAAAATTACAGCTCAATGAAACAAAACACCCTATACTTTCGAGGGTGCATGCACATATCTATCAAATTAAACTTAGCTTGATGATGGTGAGATTGGTGGTGATGATGATATCGGCAGAGAAGGTTACTATTAGCTAGGGTTTTGTAGTACCAAACTAGGAAAGTTATTTTGGGTTTGCATGGGAAGAACCACACTACCACTACTAGTCACTACAGGAAAAGTGGCCTTTGCCAACACTATGTTTGCAACACTAATTAAAGGTGTTGCTTAAAATTAACAATGACGACATTTTTTTAGGTGTTACTTAAAAGATACTTTATATAACATAAATAAGTTATCAATCGAATTGTGTCGCAATTGCCATATTATACGCAACATTTATAGCCCAAACAATCTTATGTGGCCTATTTATACATTATAAGGTACAATAAAGGCGATAATGTTGTAAAAAGTTAAATATGTGATATTTACCTTTAATTCATTTAAAACTATCTAATTGCCTATATATACACCTTGCAACTTTGATGTTTTGATTTGATAATGTGCCTTGTTTAATTTTTTTATGTCAACCAACTAAGAAACAAATTTTAACTTATACGTTTACAGTTTCCCATAAAGAAAAAATTTAACTTACACGTTAAATTGGAAGACCACATGCACTTAAACTTTAAATTGGAAGACCACAAGTTTGGTCTGTGGAATCGTATTCACTATCATCTTCCATTTTGTAATCCTCATCTTCCTCCTCACGCGCATTCCACGAAGATGGTCCTTTGTGTGACTTTCGACGCTCGTTAAAGTGATTAGCTTTGGTAGAAATCGGTTGTGAAGATGTAAAGTCCCTGCTCGGAATAGATACCTTCTTCGAATATCCAACATACCTTCTAGAGATGTCAACTGTATTTCGTGTTGATTGTGAAAGTTGTGTAGCTGGCTTCTCCTTGAGCGTTGAGCCGACTTCGATGCTGGATCGCTTCGTGGGACTTGGGCCAATCATTTTATTCAGACGCCTAGGTTCTTGTTCTGATTGTTTCTTCAATCGAGGACATGTCTTTCTACTCTTACTCTTGCCATTCTGGGGTATTCTGGGTCCTATCATAGTTCTTGATACGTTCTGAAAAATTAGGAAGCAATTATAAGAATTAATCAGTAACAATAACACAAAAGTATATCCCCAAACCAAGGTTCAAAAAAGCGTTAGGCGTAAGGCGAGCGCTCGGCACCTGTAGATTAACATCCAAAGATACTAATGCATACATGTAGAGTATATTCTATGTTATAGTTGTACTTCAGATTCATCAAACAAGAAAGGCTAACCCTTGCTGCTGAATTTTCCATCCAGCAGAGAACCCCACTCCATCGCCGAGCTTCTCCAAGTGATGACGTCGAGCATACAAAATGCTGCGTTGTGAGGGAGGGGAGCTGATTTAGATGGCAAACGCCTAGGTCCACACTCCATCGCCTAGTCTCGCTTCTTCCCTGATTAGTGATTAGGCGCAATTCCTAGATATTAAGTGCAATAAACACTTTTATCAGCCCTAATGCCAAAGGTGAGTTGTTCCATCTATGCTTTGTTCCTAATTGTACCTAGGCGTGCCTTCTTGAAGGCTGCCCCAAACATACATACAGTGGCAACAATACCCAATAACTCATAATCGATCAAAAGAACCCAACAACCAAAGAGAACCCCAGTGAAACATCAACTACCGACAGGAGGGGAACACATCCAAAACAAACTGATCCAAACCGAACGAAAACAAAAGGCAAATGCAATTGCTTACCTTGTGGCTGATGCGGCTGAGACTGGACTGTAGAGAATAATGTCAAAGAAGACTACTACCCACCGAACCAACCATATATAAGAGGGTTTACTGTTATATATGACAGGAGATGATGGCGGTAAATTTTGACGAGGGAGAAAACCCGCTCACCTTCCAAAATTCCAAGCCTGGCGGTAAATTTCACAGCTCCTATTGCTTGCCGATCAAATCTCCCGCCAAGAAAGATCAACATTCTGAACTCGAAGATAATTTGGTAACAATAATTTTCTAGATACGATGGTTCCTTCTGGATTCTGGATTTGCCTGATTCGGTGAAGTAATAGGGAAAGGGTCGAATGGGGGAAGAAAAGTAATACTAATACAAATTCACATATGGACAACAATGATTCACCTAGCAAATGTCAATTAACATATTCTCTAATTCTCTCATATGCTAATGGAAGGAAATACAAATTGCAAACAATAATAATTACGAAAGTAATTCTAATACAAGAAAAAAATATTTTTTTATCCTTACACTCCAAACTTATCTTTGAAATCCTTGTGAATCTCTATAAACATCTCATGAACTTATGAGTGATTTCGGGTTACGGATCGTCACAGATTAGATCGTAATTTGGTAGTTTATTAATTAGAGAAGTCTATTCTCAAGGATTTATAATAATAATAATAATATTTATGTACAACCGTAGCTAGAGGAAATTTATGGACTTTAACTTTACGGAAAAGGTAGAATTATAAATTATAGGATATTTGTTTTATTAATCACTTAAACTTTTCCCAGTATACGAGCAGAACAATAACTGGATAAATCTTCACAAATCCACTAACAATAAAAAGATCTTCCTATTCTAAATAAATCTCTATTCCATGGACAATCCCTACTCCCCACTATTATCCCAATCGTTCCCGCTGAAGAAAATAAGCTCTGCGGCAAATCTCTTCTTCTCGTCCATCGACCGCCGACACCTATTCATCAGTTCCCAAACATTACCGTCATTGCCAGTCAGCCTCGCAAACGTCTGCCGCTCTCTCGGAGGTATTAAGTTGTTGATTAGTATTGACTTCAACCCAACCATTCTCTTAATTAATTAATTAGGTATTTTATTGTTCGGTCGTATATGGTATATGTATAAGCTTTTGAATGGCTACTGGTTGTTGTGAAGGCATCCTCCCATGTTGTTTGACTGCTTTCTTTGTTTGGTTGTGGTGCTTTTTTCTGTTAATCTAAATAATTTCTTTGATAGGGGTCATGAGCTCTAATGTTATAGTGTATTCGAAAAGATCGAGACTCATGGGAGAAGAACAAGACAAATCAATTCCTTCTGATAGTGATGAGACAAGATCCCCTTCAGAAAATGAAATATATGATTCGGATGAGACCCAAAATCAATGGGAAGAAATGGGCGCAGAGCATATATTTGTACCAGAATCTGAGTATGAGATCGAGGCTCCAAAAGGTACATTTATTTAAATGGTCAATATAAATAATAAGTTTAGTGATTGAATGAGCAGTGTGGTGATCAATGGTCATTTAACTAATAATGTTCATATGTATGTTCCATTACAGTGAAGAAAAGAAGAGGGAAGACACCATGCAATGCTGTTGAACTTACAACAATAAAGGGGAATAAAATTGAGGTGGACATCTCAAGTGATGGTAAACCTATTGGTAGGAACGCGAGGAAATTTGTAAATTATTGTGGACTTGTAGTAAGAAGCAATACGAAGTTGAGCATCGATACATGGAGTAAGATAGATGAAGCTAAAATTGATAAATTGTTTGAATTGGTGGAGGTAAATTTATCTTTTATCTTTTACCATTTTCATTACCATTTTTGTGTTTACAAACTCTCCACAATGCATGCTTTTGTTTTTGTTTTTGTATGTAGAGAAAATTCACTTGTAGTGACAAACAAGCGCTAAGAGATCTTATGTGGATCAAAATGAGCTCAGCACATTCAACTTGGCAATATCATGAGCATGACAAGTTCCTTGCACTTGCCGATAACCAAAGGAGTGGCTATGTTCCTGAAGGTGTTGATGTTGTTGATTGGGAGAAAATTGTTCAATATTGAGCTTCTACTAACTTCAAAGTAAGTTTATACATTTTTACTTTCAATGTGGTCAAAATTAAAATTATTTATAGATCTTTGATTATTATTAATATATGTGGTAGGAAATGAGTAAGAGAAAGAAACATAATAGAGGAAAGGTGAATGTCACCATCACTCCTTCCACCACTTTGGTGACCATAAAAGGTGGTGGGGATCATCGAAGGAGAGAATGTCAAATTCGTGGGCAGTTGGCACTACTAGTGGGAATAAGCTTTGTAGGGTTGCCGACGACGATGGTAGTGATGGCAATGGGTCGGGGCGGGGCGGGTACCTCAATATCCATGCCCCGTCCCACGCTAGTACGGGTCGAGGCGGGTAATACCCGCGCGGGTACGGGGCGGGGCGGGTCCACCCATTCTTACATGCTATTTGAGAAAAATACACGTACAATTTTACTTTTTATGATAAAACGAAGGGAAAAAAACTTGATGAATGAATAATAGTGATAATATAATAAGTAATTGAGTCTATTTAGTTGAAAGATCAAGTCTAACTAGTTGAATAAAAGCCTAAATAGGAGATATATGAATGGATTGAGTAAAAATTTGACCTAGAACGGGCTAAGAATGGGGCGGGGCGGGGCAGGGCCGGTCGGAAGTTGATACCCATGCCCCGCCCCATCACGGGTCAGGACGGGTATTACCCGGCGGGGCGGGTTCAAATTGCCATCCCTAGACGATGGCGATGGTGATGTCGAAATCTTGTTGTTGGGGCCGCCACCAACGTTTCAGAGAGCCTTGACTTGAGATTTCAAGAACTTGAGATAATTAGTTGTCTCGACTAGACATGCAATTGATAGATCCATTAGGTTATTTGACCCAAATGTCATGACTAATATGGGTATTGAATTGGACCTAAATGGATCCATATGTACTTCTATTAATTTTGGGTTTGGGTTGGATTTGAATTGGGTATTATTTGGATCATTCATTTGGATTATACTCAAATGGGTCTATTGGGGATCGGTTGGCTTGCTAACCCCTCTGGGGTTGGAAAATGACACCCCCTATTAATTATAGTTAATTATGCTATTAAATTCGTGTTGCATTTAATAATCTTTGGGAAAGAAAATCTTATATTAATTAAATTCCTTTTTTTGAACTACTATTGCGTTGATACAACTATCATTGCACTTGTACACTGAACTCATATTAATTACATTCCTTTTTTTGAACTACCATTGCACATGTTCACTGATATCATTGAATTGGTAGAACTACCATTGCACTGAAAAAAGTAAAGTAATTAATATGAGTTTTAATTCAGACATATTATTAAATGCAACACAAATCAATTACCTTAAAAGCCTATAATTAATAGGGTGTCATTTTTTCAAACCTTTCAGGGGTAGTCATGCTATCTCACCCCGGTCTATTGTGACCATATGATTGTCTGCAAAAAAAATAGGGTTAATACCCTAGTTTGGCCCGAAGTTTGGCTTAAGTGACAGTTATGGCCCCATTTTTTAAATAAGACATTTATGGCCTACTTTTGAAACTATTGGACGAATTTGGGCTAAAAATTTCTTTGATCGTTAATATTAACGGTCAAACACAATTCCGTTAATGACTCAACAAAAACTGCCGATGTTGCATGCCACATCATTAAATAATATTATTTTAATTATAATTCAATTAAAATGCAAATTAAGAAATTAAGAAAAAAGCCTAAACTAAATCTATATCATCATCAATAGGAGGGAGGCGCTCCTCCTTCTCTGAGGACCACCGCCACACCACCATTCATTTTTCTATCCCTTCATCCCTCTCTTTCTTCTCCTCGTCATTCCTTCCGTCATCGCTACCGGAAGTGAGAACCCATCTCTGTACGTCCGGAGAGGCGGTTTCGGTCGCCCTTGTCGTCGTGCCTCCGACTCGAACACCAATGATGAGGACCCATCGATTGTGATGCTGCACATCAATTTTTCGCCTAATGGGAGGGAACCCATTAACCAATTTCACCTTCTCCTGCCCTTTGTTCGGCGAAGATTGATTGCAAAAAAAGGCGAGTTCTTCCAGTAGCGGGGCTGTAATTTCTTACCGTCGAACGACCAAGTCAAGCAAGATCTGGAGGCTCTCAACTGGCAGGAATGTCAGGTTCGGCTGTGGAGACGACCGGCCTCGCTCTGAGCAGCGGAGCTCCGAGTTTCACAAAGTCCCGCAGTGGCGGCGCCGCTGTCTCGATTCCGGCGGAGGATCTCCTGGCGTCGTCGATCAAGCGCAATGGGTGGAGCCAGAAGAGAAAGTGGTGAAACTTGAGCTCCACAGGTGGCGGATCTTCATGAATTTTTCTATTTTCCCCTGGGCAGCACCCATGTGTTTAGGGTTTCATTTGGAATTTCTTTAATTTTTGGATGGTTTCTCTTGAAGGAAAGAGGAATCGGTGGATGGGGAAGTTGGAACGTAATGGAAGAAGAAGAAGAAATTTTAGTGGTTGGGGTTTTGGGAAGGAAGGGAATTGAAGCAAGTTTTGGGAAGGAAGGGAGAGGCTGCAGAATGTTGGTTGTTGGAGGAGGAGGTGACTCCCTCCTGTTAACACGAAGATGTTGTTTTAATTTTTTCTTCTTAATTTTTTAATTTGTATTTTAATTGAATTATAAAATTAAAATAATATTATTCAATGATGTGGCAATTTTCTTCTTAATTTTTTAATTTGTATTTTAATTGAATTATAAAATTAAAATAATATTATTCAATGTTGTGGCATGCCACATCATCAGTTTTTTGCTAAGTCACTAATGGAATCGTGTTTGACCGTTAATATTAACGGTCAAAGAAAATTTTGGGCCAAATTTGTCCAATAGTTTCAAAAGTAGGCCATAAATGTCTTATTTGAAAAATGAGGCCAGAACTGTCACTTACGCCAAACTTCGGGCCATACTAGGGTATTAACCCAAAAAAAATAATATCAACTATTTCATTAACTACTTTCAATTCATTTGCACACCTTTAATGTAGGTGTTTTCACCTTCCAATTTAATTCACAACTAAAAATAAAACCAAATTGCATTGTAATTGGATACCAATTTTTTTTTACTTCATATACTTTGGGTCCAAGTTACACTCAAACTATACAATTGGATATGAGTATGACAATTTACCCAAACTTGATTTTACACATAATAAGTTGGGTTCTGACTAATAACCAAACTCTAAGACCCATTTGCCATCTCTATCGTCGAGCATGGAAGCCGTGTCCATCTTGTTCCACCGGGGACCAACCTTTGCAGAACGCTAATCCTCTCGCTGATCCTCTCCCTCCTCTGCCTGTCTCAATATCATTCGCCAAATTGTCCCAGGAAGTATTTGCTCGACGAAATCCTTTCCGCCCTTTGTTTACCTATTTGGTCTCTATCTTGCCATTAGTTTAGAGCTTGCGCTAGGCGAAAAAGGAGTGGTTGATTACAATTTGATCATATTATGGAGAAAGATTCATGAAGATTGGGGCTTTCCTATTTCCATGGTCGAATACGATTATTTTTACCTATCCAATCCTTTTCGTTCAATTAATTACAACTTGTTTACCTATCCAATCACTTCCCCCGCTACTTAATCTTCAAATTTTTACATGCATGCAGATCTCCCACCGAGGGCGAATTTAGTGACTAAGGGGTGCTTAGTTACTTAACTAAGTCTCTCCCAGCTATTAGATCAAGACATACCAATCAATCAAAGCAGTAAAATTATTTAATATACGTCGTGGATTTGTACTACGTATTGTACACAAGACCACTTGAACACTAAACTGGAAGTAGTTGTTGATATTTTTTATAAAGAAGAATGGTTGGTAAGCATTCATTCGATTCGGCTTCTCTCACTAAACTTTTTTGGAAAATACTTCTCTCTCTAAAGAAGAATCTAACTTGATCGTTGGAGGATTAACGGGCCACGAGGCCCACCTCGGTGTGTGTAGGTGATTCCACGTAGGCAAGGTGTACGGAGCGGAAGGGAAGAAGGAAGATTGAGGAGGCTTCAACAATTGGCGCGCCAGGAAGGGGGCGAAGAGTACTAACAAAGAAGAAAAAAAACGAAAGAGGGCGCCTGAGAGACGATGGAAGACGGTGGGAGTGAAGTTCAAGAGCAAGTCATGGCTGAGGCGTCCCAAGAGATGGGGGAGCGGACGCCCAGTAGGAACGAGGACGAAGGAAGTGAAGATCGGCACCTGAGTTCTGAGGATGCCTCCATCACTAAGAAGGACTTGTTCAAAATTATAGCTGATCAGGATGAAGCCATCGGGATGCTCAGGAGGGAGGTGGAGATGCTGAAAGGGATGTACACCCACCAGTTCTCGGAGTCATCCTAGAAGAGTGCACCACAAGTGAAGAGCTTTGTCGGGCGCTGGCCAAAAGAGATGTGGTATCCACGGAGGACGTGGATTGTAGTGTGCAAAAGGTTATAGTATTGGAAGAGACGCTAGCGGCAAGAAGAGCAGATAGGCGCCGCTCAAGGGGCGAAGAAGGAGACGGGGCGCGAAGGCAGGCGCCCGAACCCAGGCCAACCTACGGAGGAGCGCCCTTCGGCTCGGCTAGAAGAAACGATCAAGGGCGCCCGGCGCCTAGGGCGAATCCGTTCACATAGCTTAATGACTCGCCAAAGAATGTGCTACAGCATGTGAAGGGTAAGAGGTATCATGTGAGGTGGCCGGGGCTTATGAGGGGGCAACCCAATCCTCAGAATTTGGATCGATATTGTGACTTCCATCGGGAGCGTGGGCATAATACGGTAGATTGTTATCAGCTGAAAACCGAGTTGCAAGGGTTGGTTGACAGAGGCATGCTCAATGAGTTTGTCAAAAAACCAGAAGAGAAGGTTCATAGAGCATACGCCGCCCGAGCAGAACCTAAGGAGGATTTGCCCCCGCCTCCATTCGAACTTGACCAAGAGAAGGCGCCTGAGAAGGTGAGGCTCACGGTGGAGGCGATCACTGGCACAATGGATTTGAGGGACAAGTTGGAGGCTGGTCGGCGCCTGAGAGCGGCGTCGGTTGACAAACAAGGGGTTTGCATTAATTTCAACCAGGCGTCCGAGGAAGCCTATGGGATACCTTCCTTGGAAGCGCTGGAGATCCAAGGGGTAATAGTTGGGTGCACCATGAAGAGGATGCTTGTAGACACGGGGAGTTCCATGGACGTGTTGTTCAAGGACACGGTGACACGCATGCAGTTGTCTCCAGACCTAATACGACCATCAGACTCGGTGTTAGTAGGATTTTTGGGGGCGCGTGCTAAGGTGATCGGGCGCGTGCGCCTCCCCGTCACCTTGTGCGACGAAGAACAGCGGGTCACGCATGCTATTGATTTCGGGATCGTGGATTGCTCATCTCCTTACAACGCCATACTCGGAAGACCTCTTTTAGCTCTGTTTAATGGAGTGACGTCTACTTGCCATCAGACGCTGAAGTTCATAGCGCCGCAGGGAGTGGGCGTTGCCCGGGAAGAGGCGCCCCAATCTACGCCCAGCTGAAAAGTGTGCGGCCCCGGAAGAGTCAAAGGGTGAATGTGATTGCAACTGAGGAGGCGCCTAGGGCTGAGGCGGCTGATGAGGAGTTGATGATTCCCTTAGATGAGGGTCGACCGGAAAGGCAAATAAGAATTTCGGTCCAGGCGCCTCCGGAAATGGTAGAAAGATTGGTCGCTTTGTTGAGAGAGTTTGCGGAGCTGTTCGCATGGAGCGCTAAGGAAATGCCAGGAGTGTTGCCCGAGACAGCGGTCCATAGGCTGGCAGTAGAGGCAGGGAGGAAGCCTGTTCAACAAAAAAGGAGGAACCTATCTTAGGAGAAGGAGGCAATGCTCAGGTTGGAGGTGGACAAGCTCCTTGATGCTGGGTTTGTTGAAGAGGCAGCTTATGTGACATGGTTATCCAATGTGGTGTTTGTCCCAAAACCAGCAGGAGACTGGAGAATGTGCGTTGATTTCACAAGTCTCAATAGGGCGTGTCCAACGGATGCGTACCCGATGCCTCGAATTGACCTACTAGTGGATGCCACGGCTTATCATGAGATGCTTAGCTTTCTTGACATGTTCTCAGGAACCATCAAATCCCCAAGGTAGAGGAAGACAGGTTGAAGACCGCGTTCATGACGCCCTTTGGAAATTTTTGCTATAGGGACATGGCATTCAGGTTAAAGAACGCGAGCGCCACCTATCAACGCATGGTGAATACAGTCTTCCAACGGCAGATCGGGCATAATGTGGAAGCATACGTGGATGACTTGATAGTCAAGAGTTGTAAGCCGGAGAATCACCGACGTGATTTGAGGGAAACATTTGAAACCATGCGCCTACACAACCTAAGGCTCAACCCCCTCAAGTGCGTCTTCGGCACGGAAGCAGGTAAATTTCTAGGCTTCATGATTACCAAGAGAGGGATCGAGGCCAATCCGAAGCAGGTGGATGCTATAATCAAGCTAACGCCTCCAAGGACGCCTAAGGAAGTGGAAGGTTTAGCCGGGAAACTCGCGGCGTTGGGGTGCTTTATACCAAGATCGGCCGACAAGGCAGCCCCATTCTTCAGGGTGCTTAAGAAGGCCGTACGCTTCAAGTGGGATGAGGCGTGTAGCGGAGCATCCGAGGAGTTGAAGCACCTTTTGGCGGCACCTACAGTAATGACGGCGCCCAAAGCAGGCGAGGTGTTGTACTTATACATCGCGGTTTCGGAGGCGACAGTTAGCGCGGTGTTAGTATCAAGAAAGGCGTCTACGGGAGAAGAAAAACTAGTTTACTACGTAAGCAAAACAATGGGGGCCCACGAGAGGCGGTATGCGCCTATCGAAAAAGCCTCCCTTGCGGTAGTGACCGCTGCAACCAAATTGCGCCCGTATTTTCAGGCGCATGCCATTGTCATACTCACTAACCTACCGCTCAAGTCCACCTTGGGCTCCATGGATGTGGCTGGGCGTCTCGTCAAATGGGCCGTGCAGCTGAGTGAATTTGACCTCAGATATGCGCCCCGACCTGCTATCAAGGCCCAGGTGCTTGCCGATTTTGTGGCAGAAGGGATAGTGGAAGCTGACAGGGCCGAGGAGAAGACCTGGCAGGTCCAAGTCGATGGGGCGGCGAGTCGAGTCGGCGCCGAAGCAGGAATAGTAATCATCAGCCCCATGGGAGTTATGCATGAGATCGCTTTGAGATTTGTGGAGCTCAAAACCAACAACGCCGCCGAGTACGCAGCGGTTGTCGCAGGGCTTCGTATGGCGCGGGAACTAGGCGCTCAATGTGTTTGTGTCAAGTCAGATTCGGCCCTCGTGGTAAACCAACTCAATGGGGCGTTTGAGGTGAAGGAGGAAGCCCTTGAAGCCTATGTCCAGGCAGTACGAAGAGGGGGCGCCTGGTTCAGAGAAGTGGAATTTGCGCATGTTCCACGGGAGGAAAATGTCCATGCAGACGCACTATCGAAATTGGCCACGGCCTTGGACTTTGCTGAAGAGAGGAAAGTCATTGTTACAAAGGAGGTGCCACAAGAGTACATGGTGGCAACTGTGAACAATTCCATGGGGGGCGACAGCTGGATGGCGCCTATTTGGGCATACCTAACTTCGGGCGTCGTCTCAGAAGATGCGAAAGAGGCATGGCGACTCAAGCGAAAGGCGGCCCGATGCTCCATAATTGGGGGGCATCTGTATAATCGGTCTCATTCGGGTGCCTATCTAAGGTGCTTAAGCAATGAGGAGGGCCAGGCAGCACTTGAGGAGGTTCATAGTGGCACTTACGGAATGCATGCTGGCGCTCGAAGTTTGGAGAAAACATTGCTTCGTCAGGGGTACTATTGGCCTATAATGCGAAAGGATGCAAAGGCTCACACAGGCGCCTGCCATTAGTGCCAAATCCACGCTAACAACATACATATCCCGGCTGCACCAATGCAAGGTAACACAGGCGCTAGGCCTTTTGCACAATGGGGGATGGACCTCTTAGGTCCTTTTCCGAAGGCGCCCGGGCAAATGAAGTATTTGATAGTCGCCATTGACTACTTCTCCAAGTGGATTGAAGCCAAACCCTTGGCAACCATTACCGAGGCCCAGGTGCGCAAGTTCACAAGGAAGAACATATTCACTCTGTTCGGGTTGCCGGAGTCTATCGTCACCGATCATGGTAAACAGTTCGACTGCAAGACGTTCGTGGAATTTTGTGATGAGCATGGGGTGGTGTTGAGGTTCTCCTCTGTAACATACCCACAAGCCAATGGGCAAGCCGAGGCGGCCAACAAGTGCATCCTTCATGGATTACACACAAGGCTCCTAGGGGCTAAGGGGCGCTGGGTGGAAGAGTTGCCAAGTGTGCTTTGGGCGCATCGAACAACATACAAGGTCTCCACGGGTGAGACACCCTTTGCCTTAACCTATGGAAGTGAAGCGGTCATTCCCGTTGAGCTCCGGATCCCCAGCTATCGTGTGTCACATTACGATCCGGGCCAAAATGAGGAGGACAGGGTGGCTGATTTGGACCTCTCCGACGAACACCGAGAAGTGGCATCGGTACGGCTAGAGGAAATGAAGAGGCAAGTGGCTCGGTACTACAACAGGAAGATGCGCCCGCACTGCATTACCAAAGGAGCATTGGTTCTCAAAAGAGAATTTCGGCCATGCGCCCAAGAAGGAAAATTGGCTCCCAAGTGGAAGGGCCCGTATCGCGTGGCTGAGGTCGTTGGGCCGGCTACGTTCAAGTTAACGCATCTGGATGGCAAGCCAGTTAAGAGAACATGGAATGCGCAGAACCTACGTGTGTATCACGCTTCACTGTGGGAACAAAGTGGCTGAATGGTGAATGACCAAGGGGAAGCACCTATAGGAGTATGTTAGAAGTAGATTGTGAGTGTTGTGCGCCCAACCAAAGCGCTTGTAATGTTCAACGCCTATGTTTCGTGGTTAAAGTGTGTTCAATGTTTTTTAATGAAAGCGCCCCCCAAAGAAGCGCCCCTTCACTTGTTGAAATAGTGAGTGGAAATGCGGTCATAAAAAGCGCCCAAATAATTTGCGCCCATCACACAGAACGCGCCCTTATTCACGCCCGTTTCATATAAAAGCGCCCGTAAAATTGCGCCCAAGGTACATCAAAGCGCCCTTCCTTACGCCCAACATTAAGATCAGTGCCCGGTCATAGCGCCCAAACATCAATCAAAAGCGCCCATAATTTATGCGCCCAACCAAAAGATGGCAAATTATTATGACAACAGGAGGAAGCAACGCGTACTATAGGTGTCCAAAACAAAATAGGGCCCCGATCGAAAACTTTGCGCCCCGGTAACAACAAAAGCGCCCAGTCATAGCGCCCATACATCAGTAAAAAGCGCCCTTGATTTATGCGCCCAACCAAGAGATGGCAAATTAGTAGGATGACAAGATGAAGCAATTCTCATTATAGGCGTCCAAACAAAAGATGGCAACATGTTATGAAAACAAACGGCGTAAACCATTACCACAGGCAAAAAAAAAATCCATGGTACACAACGCCCAGCCAAAAGGAGCAGACTTTATGCATACGAAAAGGAAAAAAGAATCCATGGTACAAGGCGCCCTGCACTACTCTGCCTCCGAGGATGCGTCGTCCATCGAAGAGGATCCACTTCCTTATGGGGAAGGCGCATCTCCACTCTCCGCAGGCGCCTCCTCATATTCTCCAGCCGCCTCCTCTTGGTCATTTTGCATCTCTTGGATTACAAAATTCACCATGTCGGGAAAGTCCACGGTGATGTCGGGATATTCTTGGTCGAGCTTCCTCTTGGCAAGCACCAAGCTATCCAGAGACGCCTTGGCAACTAGCTCCTGCCCCTCGTCCGAATGGGCAAAGTTCTTGAGAGACGCCTTCAGTTCCCTAATTTCCTTGTGAGCGCCCCTCACCACCTTTTTGTAGTCTTTTCGGCATTAGGCGGCCGCCTTCAATTCGTCCTGAAGGGAGGTCTTCTCCTCCCTCAGGGCAACCAGCTCCTTCTCCCGGGCGCCTAGGTCTTGTGTCAGCGCCTCCTTATCCGCCTCCAAGGCGGCAAGCTTCCGCTCGAACTCCAGGCGCTCCTCCGCCATGCGGGAAGCAAACTCGGCGTCTCGTTGGCGGCGCTCCTCCTCCAGGGTGCTTTGGAGGGTGTAGATTTGTTTGGCCGCCTCTAGTTGCGCCTCCTCGCACTCCTTGACGAGCTTCTCTCGGCACGTGGTAATAGTCTCAAGGTTGTCCTTCAGGGTTGACAGCGACGCCATAGCTTCGCGGCTCTCCTCCACGGCGACGTCTGTCTTCCGGGCGCCTGCCTCAGTAAGAAGGAGCAGCTGCAAGAACAAACGGATGCATGAAGATGGGCAACGTAAATAGGCATACTTTGGTAGGAATATTCTATGCGCCTCTATAAGTGAATTAAGCATACCGGGAAAGGAAAATATAGGCGCATGAAGGCTTACCTTGGCGCCCATTTGGGCAACTTCGACCCAAGGATGATCCTCCGAAATCTCGGAGGGCGCCTACAGATGTTGTGATGTCGCGAGTGCCAGACCCATGGCGCACCCACGGTCCACCGCCGCCCGAGGTGAGCAGAACAGAGCAACACGCCCCATTTCGGTGCACGTCGGTCGGAGAATGGGAGGCTTCCCATCAGGGCCAAGTAGGCGCCCTTCCGATATAGTATAGCGGTTGGGTTGAGTAACACCCTGCCCTCGGGCACTTTCCTCTACTTGCGCCGTAATCTCCAGCGCCTCTTCATTACTTGGTCTCGATTTCTTCCTCGGGTTGGATAGCCGGGCGCCAGCCCTCTTCCCGCGGGTGACCAGGAGAATGTCATCTTCTTCTTCCCCTAAATCGCCAAACTCATCAACCAGCGGGGGGTCCTCAACAGCATTGGCGCCTGATGGTGTAGACGCCACACTGGAGGTCTTGGCGGGCTTTTCCACAGGCGCCTTGCCTTTTCCCGGCACTACCGGGGCCGTAGTTGGTTGTGGGGTGGAGACAGATTGGGGCGACGCATGGGCCAGGATGGATTTCCCTGACGAGGCGCCTGTTGAGTCATCTTGTCATAACGACTCTTCATCAAGGTGGCAATGCGGGGCAAAGTTGGTACCTGCAAACAAATCAAGTCATAAGCCAAGGCGCCTGTAAAAGCATCAACAAGCAAGAAAGACATTTAACACACCATCTCCATAATATTCATCTAATATAGGCGCCCGGGCACTGGTAGGGCGCAGATCTATAGGTGAGGAGCTAATAAGAACGGCGTCGTCTCGTTCTTCTTGGCTAAGTACGACGACGTCTTTAAATCGTTTCTCGGTACCAAGCTCCCGATCTGTTCTAAAAGCGCCTCCACTTTTGAAAAAATAGTCCCTATGCGCCTTCATAAAAAAGAAGCCCGTGAACCAAGTCCTCCCCAACTTGGGGCACCGTGTAACTAAATGGGCGCCCACCCTCTTGCGACGTTGCAATGACAGACAGTTGTCTCGGGGCGTCACCGTGAAAAAAAGGCGAAAAAGGTTGAAAGTCGGGCGCACGTTATGAATCTGACATTTCAATTTAAAGAGAATAACAATCAATATCACGGAGGGAGATAGGCGCCCGATGGTGCACCCACAGTAATCTAAAATCCCCTCCATAATGGAATCCAAGGGAAATCGGAGCCCAAACCGGAAGTACTCCTGGTAGATGCCCAACCAACGGGGACCGCACAATCCCACTCGAGCAATAGGCGAGGGAGGCGCATACGTCCAAGTGCGGGGGAGTCCGAGATTCGCGACCAGACTAGTCATCCACGCGGTCGACATGGTTGAGTTATGTTCGGGCCCTACCACGTTCGCAGGCAAGCATGTCGTCTCCCAAGGCGCATATTCAGGCGGCCAGGTGTTCTCCCATGTTGTCATTTTGTATGAACCATCTTCTGGCACATAGTAGTTCGATGATGGCGTTGGTATGGGAGATAGTGTAGGCGCCCCCGCTAAAACAAGTCAATCAGGCGCACACAATCGTTGGCGATGTAAGTGGCGCCTCAAAAGAAAAACGAGGTTAGTGCTTACCAGTTTTGGAAGGGGCGCCTTGGCCCTGGGAGGAGCCCGCGGCAGCAGCAGCATCGGTAGGGTTCGTCATCTTGAAGCGGAAGAGCAACACGCTGATGGAGGGAGAGAGACGCGGCAGAGAGAGAAACTAAAGTGAGAAAGATATTTAGGGCGAATGAGAAACAATGGAGAGCAATAACTTACATTTAAAGAAGAAGGCGACCACGCCTCGACAATTGCGCCACTGGCCACGTGGCTCAATCACAACCGCCCAATTTGAATTTCAAAATTGCTGTTGTGAGGGGGGCAGCAGGGGAAGAGTGCGAGGCGCTTCCAATAATTTTATAGGAGAAGAGGCACCTTTAAGGGTTTAAAAAAAACGGAGAGGGCGCGGGGAAGCAGGGGAGACGAAGCACAGGAAAGGAAAGCAAGGCGCCTACAGTTATTTGATAAGAGAAGAGACGCCTTTAAGAGTTGAAAAAACTAAGTAGGCGCGATAAAGCGGAGGAAACTGAAGCGCCTCTGAAAACAGAATTTGAGAAGACGCCTAGAGGAAGGGGGCGGCCGAAGTATGGCCTTGGAAGGAGGTGGAAAGGCGCCTCTTCAAGATATAATTTATAAGGAGAAGGGCGCCAAGCCTAAACCATTAAGGAAGAGGTATGCAAGGTGCCTTTGGTTAAGAGGACTGGAAAGGGACCGAAGAATGTGAAGCAGTCGAGGTGCCCAGGGAAGAGGAAAAAGAGCCCTGGAATTGGCAGGCCCTAAAAGAGGCCCGAAATGCGTCAAATGAAAAGGAACCAGAGGAAAGAAGGCACTGCGAATAAAAAGGCACCTAGGAAATGTAAGGTAAAAGATGACCAAGGGTGGAAAGAAAGGCGCCTCGAGAAGGGGACGTCTCAGCAGGAAACTTATCGGCTCCGTTTCAAGGGTATGAGGGGCAAAACGCAGGCGCCATGATGGAGGTGATTGAGGTAGGACAAGCAAGTCCATGACGATTGGGAGGAAACAGCGTTTAGTTAGGCGCTCAAGGTAAGGAGCTTGAGCACCTAACTGGGGGGCAATTGTTGGGGCTGTTCGGATAAGTAGTCGTCGGTAGTCTAGGAAGGAGCTTAATACGAGGGTGGTGTCTTGGAAAGGCCCAAGAGGAAAGGAGGCCCACTTTATGAGGCCCAGAGGCATGGGAGAAGTCGGTTGAATAAAAGCCGGGGCTGTGGCGAAAGAACAATGTTAATCGGGACGCCTGAAGAAATGGTGACGCAACAGTGCTCCTTAGGCGCCCAGTACATACCTCGGGGAGGAATCCCAAACCAGGCGCCTAGGACAAGTGGGGCATTAAATGTAGCGATGACGTGGAATTTAGTACGGTAAGGAACAGTTATAAATAGAATGGTTGGTAAGCATTCATTCGATTCGGCTTCTCTCACTAAACTTTTTGGGAAAATACTTCTCTCTAAAAAGAAGAAGCTAACTTGATCGTTGGAGGATTAACGGGCCACGAGGCCCACCTCTGTGTGTGTAGGTGATTCCACGTAGGCAAGGTGTACGGAGCGGAAGGGAAGAAGGAAGATCGAGGAGGCTTCAACAGTATCTACTTCCAACTCGCTTATTAATATTTCTCCTGTTTTGACTTTTATTCAACTAGTGACGCTTTATTTTGTTAACTAGGTAGAGTCAATTAACTATTCTATTTTCACTACTTTTCATTTATAAATGGTTTTCTTTTCATTTTATCGTCTGCTTGTATTCTTTTAAATAACATGTAAGAGTGGGTCGACCTGCCCCATGTAGGTATTACCCTCCTCGACCGACGCTTGATGCAGGACGGGTATGAGTATTGAGGTCATAACATCATTAAGAGAAAGCACTTAACATTATTTAGAGATAATTGAGCATACAAAGACGATGAGCAAAAAAAAAGTACATCACAGGAAAACACGTATAGAAAAAACCCGACAAAGAGATAACAAGGCACAACCCGAAAACGAAATCTCAGTGAAAGCACACCAAACTCAGCATAAGCAATGCAAAAGACAATACACACACCATTAACTTCTACATCATCACAAGGTTTTGAAAGGTCTCCATAGTCGATTCTGGCAAAGCCACATAAACAACCATATCTCCATAGTGCTCTTTCCCATTGTTCGGAAAAAATATCACCATCTCATCAACGGGCAACGTTATGGGCGCCATAAAAATAGCATCTCCCCACCCAAAATCAGTGGTGCAAAAGGGAATTCTGGACCAAGTTGTCACAAGCATAGTATGTGCAAAAGATTGCACACTTCTATGCAACTCATGACAATCAATCAACGATCTAACATTAGCATTTGTAACCATCTTGATTGCATCTTGAACCAACCCTACCGTTGTTGAAAAGGGCTCGTTGTTCAAGTCCTTAGCTTTGCTGATGGTACAAGCCACTACAATTCCATTCCCCAAGTACCCTTTAGGCAATGGTGGATCCATTTTCTCCCTCACATTCACTGGGACCATGAGTTTGGTTTCCTGATCGCTGTCAACCATGTTCAATGCCTTGCTTCGAGCTATCCAAATGAAAGCTGTAAGGCATTCGAAAGTAGAGCACTTGGAGAGAACTCCATCCTCCATGGCCTTTGATTTCAGTTCCTTTATCGATTCACGGTTAAAATGAAAAACCCTATACACCATTTTCTCTTTCGAGATGTCATTGGAAGTAGATGATGACCTATTCTCTATCTTTGTAAATTCCGGATGAGGGAACTCAACCTTTGGTGGGTTACGTGGTAGTAAAGAGCTTTTGTCTAAACTAGGAAGCACTGAAATTGACAGTCCTCTTGCGATCTCGGCCCATGAGTTCACCATCTCCATCACTGTAAAACCATCACCCATGCAATGGGAGATACAAGTTCCCAATACGAATCCTCCACATTTGAACTTTGTCACCTGCAATCGTACGTAAATGGATGATTGAGCTCACATAAATATCGATATCAATTTAACATCTTTTTTTTCCCCCCTGAAAGGTTACAAACAGGTAATTATCAATGTTGTTAAAACCGAACCGGACATTTACCCGGATCAACGAGAGGTTCATGGTTTACCGGATAATCGGTTGGCTTAATTGATAGAGCTATCAGTGCAAAGTGTAAAAGGTTTATTGTTTTGCTCTATTTGTGATAATATCTCTACTCTAGTCGCTATATATTAGAAGAAAGAAGAATAGAGAGCTAATCACAAATCGCCAAACTTGAAAAAAAAGAAGGTAGGGTAGTGAAATTGAAACATGATAAATTTTTCCCTTTAAAGCATGGTAAAGGAAACCGTACCGGACATCATACCGGATTCCTTTCTGGTAGGGTATTTTGTGGTACGACCGTGGTTCAACCTTTTCATACCGGTAAATACCGTTTTTGTAATAATAAAATATATTTTCTGTCAAAAAACCGTGCCGCCAAAATCAGAGTATCGTCTCGGAGTAATACCAGATGTATCGGAATATACCGGACAATATATACAACCAATTAGCAAATTAATAGAAAATTTTAAAAATAATATTATTTTTTGAAACTTCCCCATGCCTCTTCTCCTCCGCGTGCAGCTTTTCCCAATCTTCTCATCTTCCATTCTCTCTCTCTCTCTCTCTCTCTCTCTCTGACACCCAAACAAAAATCAATCAGCTTTTCCCCATCTTTTCTGTTCTCATCTTCCATTCTCTCTCTCTCTCTCTCTCTCACACACACACCCAAACAAAAATCAATCAGATTTTCCCATCTTTTCTGTTCTCATCTTCCATTCTTCCTCCTCTCTCTCTCTCTCTCTCCCAAACAAAAATCAATCAGACTAACAGGCGACAACGAACGGGCTGGAGACTGGAGAGCCATCTTGAATGGCCGGACGGAGAAGGCAGATTTTGAATGGCCGGACGGTGACAGAATTGGAGAAGGAAGAAGAGGGCATCGGTGGCCTAGGGAAGCAGTCGTTGTAGCTGGATGTCCGGAACCACCGTCACAGCCCGCATGCAACCGGCGGCAGGGGCAGGGTCGGCACGGGGCAGAGACAGGGTTGGCGCGGCAGAGATGGAGGGTCGGCGCGGCGGAGAGGGAGGCTTGGGCGGCGGCAGGCTCGTCGGTCGCCCAGTCGCCGGTCTGATTTAAACCGGGCGGTATACCGGTTTATGCCGGTTAAGCCGATTAAACCGGCCGACACGGTAGGAAGGAGGCTGGTAGAGTATCGTTTCGCCACTGGTCGGATTCCCGGTTTTACCGGTTGAACCGGCCGGTACGATCCGGTTTCCTTTACCATGCTTTAAAGTTTAAACGTTCGTTTGCTTGCTCTATATTTTGAATATTTAAAAAACTAAAAATTAGTCATTTATTTGCTTTTTTGTTGAAAAGTATAATTTATAGAGAATGGAGCAAAATGGGCAGTTCAATTTTCCGGTTGAACCAGTCATTACCCGACCGCACATTTTCTTAGACTTTCGGGATCGGATTAGTGCCCGGGTCAATTTTCCCCGGTCTGACCGACTGGTTCGGTCCGATTTTAATAACAGTGGTAATTACTAAGTTCTGAAGTTATCAGTACGTTCTCCATATGACAAGTTAATATGAACGTTTTTTCTTCTTCTTCTTCCACATTGACAATGTGCAATAGAAGTCGAATAGATTACCTGGGCAACCAGAAGTGGGCATTGTGGCAAAGGCTTGGCATTGCCATGAATGCCACCATCGTAAACCAAGTCGACGAGCTTACTCGGGTCGCTCCTCAACATCTCTTCAACATCTTGCATGGCAAAGTCAGCCTCCACGAAAACAGCACCTTGTTCGTAGCAACTCACAGCCAACTTTTCTCCTGCGACGACCGTCAGTCGACCCGCCAACGGATAGTAGTGAACGAGGAGTTTTTGCAACGCCGTTTTGAACACTTGGCCGGCCATTTCGTTCCCTCTCTCGTTCGACTTGAACCCGTGAATGGAACGAACCCAACATACAATGTGGTCAAGGTACGAGAGGGTGAAGACACCTTTCTCCTTGATTTCCTCTTGAGGTGGTGAAACCGTGACCGGCTCCCCAAGTTTCACATTGATGTTATTGCGAAATGGCTTGCCCATGGTGGTTTTTCAGCAAAAGGCTATAATATGTTGAGAGCAGCTTTGCAATAGTACTCAGCAAAATCCACAAGAGCGCAATCTGGAGATCAGCTCTCACCTCAAGGGAATATCCAATAAACAACAGCTGGAAAAAGATAGGGGAAATCTGTCTCAAACCGTCAACAACACACATATGGAAAGAAGAAGAACAGGCAAGGAAAGGAATTGATTATGGTCCAACGGCTATAGAGTGGAGATGAATATAAATAGAGGTGGAACTTAGTATGAGAGGCAGACTTTTCATTGTGATCATATCAGACTAGCTGCAAAGTGTGCGAGCAAGAGAGGGGTTGAGTGAAAAGTCAGCACAGGAACAGTAAGGGTTTCTGGGTTCTGATATTGGGGTTTATCAGGGTACTCTGTTAGCTGGGTAGTTGATAGAGGGGTTCAAAAGAGTGAGTCAATTGTGCTGGGTAGCTGATCGACTGGGATTAGTAAGGGTTGTACTTTCACAAAGAACTTCATCGACATATCCGTAGTGAATCGTCGGAGAACGCAAGAAGCGTAACTCCGACCGTGGACTAGTCAACGTTGAGATCCTCATTCTCTCAACGTTGGAAACCACGTAAAAATTCGTGTGCAGTGTCGTTTACTTGCTTCCTGCATTTCTGTTCAATTAGGTTATGTTCTGTTCTTGGTGTTTTGGTTTTGTTTCTTAAAGTGCAGGGTGTGTTGATCGAGCAAGAGGAAGAATAAGGGCAGTACCAGGTTTGTGAAACGCTCCGTTTTTAGCATTGGTAAGGATTCATTAAAAGTGTACTTTTATTGGGCTTTGAGTTGCATCAGATAGCCTTGTGTCCAAGTAAATTCTGTGGACTTTGGTGTGTTTGCATTAAGGGCTCAGGCCCATCGACATATTCACAGCATCTAACTCAAAGAGGAAAATCCCTCTCTGGTCGATCAAAACTGATTCTTCTTCGTTATCTCACTTGTTCTTGGTCGAGAGGTGCGACGAGGGTTTTGTGCAGGTGTGGAAGAAGAAGAAACTAGCAAACAGCACCCCTGATCGTCTCGCGCTCGACGCCACCTACACGTGGTATCAGAGCCCGGCTCCGTCGAAGAAGATTTAACAATCTCCGGAGATAACAGTATGGCGTCTGGATCGGGAAATGGAGCAGTGCTGTATCTTGCTGATGGGTTCTCTCAAACTCGGCCACCCAGGTTTGAGGGAGTTAACTACGGGTACTGGAAGAATCGCATGGAACTTTTTATTGGATCTACAGATCCTAAGATTTGGGACAGAGTCATGGACGGCCCGCTAGAGGTTAAAGCCGATCGAGGGAAATGGACAGATGAAGATCGAGATAAGCATCAACAAAATTGCAAGGCCACTAACCTCATGTACTGCGCGCTTGGGCCAGAAGAATATCACAAGGTTTCAGGATGCAAAACAACGAAGGAAATTTGGGACAAGCTGCAGGTCACTTACGAAGGCACCTCTCAGGTGAAAATCTCTCGTATCAATGCTCTGAAGACTGAGTTTGAATTGTTCAGAATGATAGAAGGGGAGTCAATCAGGCAGATGTATGAGAGGTTTACCACTACGGTAAACAGTCTAGAAAACATGGGAATCGTTTATCAGAGTGGGGACTTAGTTCGAAAACTGCTATGGTCTCTGCCCAAGAAATGGGAAGCCAAAGTAACAGCTATCGAGGAGGCCAAGGACTTAAGCAAGCTACCAGTGGACGAACTAATCGGATCCTTAACTACGTACGAGGAAAAACTCAAGAGGGAAACCAGTGAAGAACTAAAGAAAGACAAACGTGGAATAGCCTTCAGAACTATCGAGGAGGAATCCGACAACTATGAAGACATGGATGATGATGAGCTCGCTATGCTGAGCAAACATATTTCCCATCTCATGAGGATGAGGAAGGAAAGAAGACGTGGTCAATTCTCCCACCAGTACAGAGACAAAGAAGCGGAAAAGGAACAAGCACAAGGGGGCGGAAGGCAAAACACAGGTCGTACTCATCCGAAAAGCAGAAGAGACACTGGACAACCTGAAAAATTCCAGTCAGGTTGTTTTAAATGCGGAAGACAAGGTCATATCAAGGCTGAATGCCCATTGTGGAGAAAGGAAAAGGCAATGACAGCTACTTGGAGCTGTAGCGAGGATGATGAAGATGATCTCCAGGAGCAGTGTCACACGAGGGACACCTGTTTAATGACTATCGGTAATCAGGAGGCTGACAACCATCATACCGAGGATTGTCTTCAAGTGAGCATGAAGACAAACAAATGGATCCTGGACAGCGGGTGCTCACATCACATGACAGGAAATAGAGATCTGTTCACAAAATTCAAGAAAGGTAAAGGAGGTAAAGTTTACTTTGGTGACAATAACTCTGCAGAAATACTAGGGCTAGGTCAAGTAGGTTGTGGTCCAAGTATTTCCAATGTCATGTTAGTTGATAATTTAAAACACAACCTCATTTCTGTTAATCAACTTTGTAGTCTAGGAAATAGGGTCATCTTTGAGACAAATGTGTGTTACATAGAAAACATTTTGACAAAAGAAATTTTGCTCACAGGAAAACGGGAAGGTAAGGTTTATGTTTTTTATCTTGACAATAAACTCCTGTCTAGAGAGCTATGTTTGATGACCTTAAACAAGAATGATCAATATGATTGGCACCGTAGACTAGGTCATGTTAATGTAGGGGTATTATCCAAACTAGTTAACCTAGATCTAGTAAGGGGTCTACCTAAAATCAACAGCAAGAAGGAATTCTTCTGTGATGCTTGCACCAAAGGTAAACACACTAAGTCGAGTTTCAAAAGTAAAAATGTGATTTCAACTACTAAACCTCTAGAGCTTCTTCATTTAGATCTATTTGGTCCAACGAATATCATGAGTTATGGAGGTAAGAGCTATGCTTTTGTTATAGTAGATGATTATTCTCGGTTCACATGGGTCCTTTTCTTATCAAGCAAGGATGAAGCATTTGAGAACTTTCGAATGTTATCCAAGCGGATAGAAACTGAGAAGCAAGGTAAGATAGTAGGGATCAGAAGTGATCATGGTGGTGAGTTCATTTCAGACAGTTTTGACTCTTTCTGCTTAGAACAGGGTATTCATCATAACTTCTCTGCTCCAAGGACTCCGCAACAAAATGGAGTAGTAGAAAGAAAGAATAGGACTCTGATCGAAATAGCTAGAACCATGCTAAATGATTATGGTCTTCCCAAGTACTTTTGGGCAGAAGCAGTTAACACTGCATGCTATGTCATTAATAGAGCCCTGATTAGGTCTGGTATTAAGAAAACCCCATATGAAATTTGGAAAGGGAGAAAGCCTAATATAGGATACTTTCACCCTTTCGGCTGCAAGTGTTTTGTGCTTAACACAAAGGATAATTTGGGAAAATTTGACGCTAAATCCGATGAGGCTGTCTTTCTGGGATACTCAGGTGTGAGTAGAGCTTATAGGGTGTTTAACAAAAGGACCCTCAAGGTTGAGGAGTCCATAAATGTTATTTTTGACGAATATGTTTGTGAGGTTGCAGAAGAATCAGATGATTATGATTTCGGACTTGGAAGAAACAGTATTCTTACCGAAGCTGAGGCGAATGCCAGTGAAGAAAATAAGGCAGCTAATGAAAGAAATATTGAGGCAGAACCAGAACATGAAGAACTTCATCCACCTCCCCACATCAGCAAGCGACATCCTCCATCTCTGGTAATAGGTAAGCTACATGAAGGTATGACTACTCGATCAAAGACCTCTTCCAATCATACAGCATTTGTCTCTTTAATTGAACCAAAATCTGTAGAGGAAGCCATGTTAGATGAATTTTGGTTAGCTTCCATGCATGAGGAAATGAATCAATTTGACAGAGCAAAAGTATGGGAACTCGTTCCTAAGCCTATTGATGTCAATGTCATTGGAACTAAGTGGATTTATAAAAACAAATCAAATGACATAGGGGAAATCATCAGAAATAAGTCCAGGCTTGTTGCTCAAGGCTACTGCCAAGAGGAAGGCATAGATTTTGAGGAATCTTTTGCCCCAGTAGCTAGACTAGAAGCAATCAGATTGTTGTGTGCATTTGCCAGTTCAAATGGTTTTAAACTTTTTCAAATGGATGTGAAGAGCGCCTTCTTAAATGGTGACTTACGAGAAGATGTCTGCGTGTCCCAACCTCCGGGTTTTGAAGACTTTAAGTTTCCTAATCACGTATACAAGCTTAAAAAGGCTCTTTATGGTCTAAAACAGGCTCCCAGAGCTTGGTATGATAAATTAAGCGAAGTCTTGATCAGTAATGAGTTTCACAGAGGCTCGGTTGACAAAACTCTTTTTATTAAAACCAAAGGGTCTGATATTTTGTTAGTACAAGTGTATGTGGACGACATTATTTTTGGGTCTACTAACGAAAATCTATGCAAGGAGTTCGAAGTTCTTATGAAGGAATCTTTTGAGATGAGCCTTATGGGTGAACTGAGCTACTTCCTGGGGTTTCAGGTAAACCAATCGTCCAAAGGAATCTTTATTAATCAGAATAAGTATTTGATGAACATGCTTAATCGGTTTGGTCTTGAGAATTTGAAACCTGCCTCTACTCCCATGGCTTCCAACTTAAAGCTAGATAAGGACGAATCTGGGGTTCCTGTGAGTGATAAACTATACAGAGGCATGATAGGTTCACTTCTGTACTTAACTGCAAGTAGGCCGGACATCATGTTTAGTGTGTGTCTTTGTGCTCGGTTTCAGAGTTCTCCTAGAGAAAGTCATCTATCAGCCGTAAAGAGAATTTTCAGATACTTAGGCGGAACTGCGTCCTTAGGACTCTGGTACTCTGCTCAGTCCAGCCTAGATCCGGTAGGTTACAGTGATTCAAACTTCGCAGGTAGTCTTACCGATAGGAAAAGCACTTCTGGTGCTTGTCATTTCCTAGGATCATCTCTAGTTTCTTGGTTTAGCAAAAAACAAAACTCTGTAGCCTTGTCTACTGCTGAGG